CATTTTGTGCTAAGTTTGCATGCATACAATGTAATGGACCCTGTCACTGCCACCACTGCTCAGGGCTGACATACAGTTTTGTGTAACTAGTGGGCATCCCTGATCACACTGTTTGCATGTTGGTCCTGAATCATTAATTCATGTGCATGCACAGAATAACCTCAGATTAGGTCATTCTGCTCATGCCCTGGCACAATTTGAATGATTCATTCAGGGCCAACATGTAATTTATTGTGTAATTAGCTGACTTGAGTGAAAATACATTAATTGAGAATCGCAAAAAAGTAGCACGTCTGTCCTATATTGTGTTTTTTTTTTTTTTTTTTTTTTTTTTTTTTTTAACCCATCAACAACTGCAGTTGCACGTTTTTTCCTTGTATCATCTTCATAACCACCTGTTTTCAGGTACCATGTTTCTAGTATATTTGTAAGATTAATTGAGAATCGCAAAAAAGTAGCACGTCTGTCCTATATTGTGTTTTTTTTTTTTTTTTTAACCCATCAACAACTGCAGTTGCACGTCCTTTTCCTTGTATCATCTTCATAACTATCTCTTTCAGGTACCATGTTTCTAGTATATTTGTAAGATCCAACATGCTGTTCCATAGACCATTGGTGTTATCCATTCATTAATAAGAGAGTCATTTATGTTTTGTGGATTTGGTATTGGTTCTTTTAAGATAGTCTAGATAGTTTGAGGATGTTAAAACCCAGCTTCGGGAAACGCTACAATTTTCCCTTGCAGTGGGGCTGTGCTCATACTGCAAGGGTTAATTGCTAATTTAGTACTAGGGGGCACAGAACAGGCCCATTCCAGTCTTCTCCCCTACAATCCACTAGCTTAAGGTCCTGTTGTCATCAAGTCTAGTGCAGGGTTAAAAGGCCTGCACTGGTCATGAGGATGCCCAGAGACAGTCCACGGCTGGTGGAGATCAGGTAAGTAAAGGTGCTTCTCCTCTCCCCTAGGCAAAACGAGCAGGCAGCCTTTTGCAGTGTGATAGCAGCCCCACTGCAAGGGATAATATTGTAGTATTGGGACTGAGCTTTAAGTTACTGTAACACAGCACAAAAATCTGGCTATTGATGTGAAAAGAGCATCCTGTACGCAGTTGTGTGGAAGGCTGAAATGAGTGGAACCGAACTTGGTGTTACTAAACCCAGGACCCTACATTCAATATATCTGGTCTCCCACAGTACACATAACATGGAAATGCGATTGTTCTAGTAAATCTAAACTGCTAAATACCATTTCTTATCAGCAGTTAAAGCATTCTTGTGACTTCTGTCAGTGTCCAGCAGAGCACTGGTTAAAGCTTGTAGGATGAGTTTTAATTCTCCCCTATGAGACTGCAGGACCCTTGACCCTCTATCTGGACAGCACTGATTGGCCTTGTGCTGATGACATATGTACTCTCCCAAGAAAAAAAAACCTCTCTAGCAATACACTCTAAACCTAGATTGTAAGCTCCAAGGAGCAGAGCCCTCCTATCCCTCTTGTATTGAACTGTATTGTTGCTGTATTGTCTCCCGTTATATTGTAAAGTGCTGAGCAAACTGTTGGCGCTATATAAATCCTGTATAATAATAATAATAAACTGAGCATGTGCAGCTTGCCCCCAAACATCTGTTATATCAGGAGATATAGGTTCCACTGTGAGTATAACAAGCATGCTTTACTCTGCATATACAGATTGATGTTACTGGTAGGTTTAGTAACACTTTAAAACCTAAAGATTCACTATGTTTAGAAATTTTAATTGTGCTACGGAAGCACCCTGAAAATGTCCTCTTCCTCATAAAAAATCATTTTCTGGTATGTAAGGATGCCTAAACACTTTTTTGCATCTTTTTGCATCTTCAGTGTGGAAGCTAAGGCCTCTATTGGAAAATTTGGAGTGAAATTTAGTGATTGCACTATGTTTTGCTGCTCTGTGTTCTCCTTGCTGGAGGCTGATATGAAAAAGCAAAGCCCTGCCTCTGCCAAGACAGCTGTCTCATAAGAGATATAGTTCAAACAATATGAGATAAATAGTGCAGCGCTAGATGTTATATGACTGTACCAGTATTGAAGATGGTGCAATATCCCTTACTTAAATGTCAACAGATGTGGACCACATACATTATATGTGACCAAACACACTATATGTGATCTTCCCAAGAGTTGAAAAAAAAGGGGGGAAGAAATGACGTGAGCTTCACACAACTTCACTTCACAATACAAAACGCACAATATAAATGCACAGTACAGTCCAGTCATCAAAGAAACACAGATGAGTGTATCTCGGTGAGATCCTTATGATGCATGTAGTCCGGCGATGTGCAGAAGAAATTAATAAATTGCGCACTCACCGGAAGCACAATTTAAATTGTGCGTTTGTGTCTCATACACCAAAGGTCACTCCTACTGTGGATGAAGGGAAGCTCTGAGCAGGTGGTTCTATGATGAAAGGTAACACATCTGGGGATTCCTTCTGGCAGACAGGCTCCAAAACAGGATCAGCTGAATATTTCTCTGGGCCATGGGGTAATCACCTGGTGGTCCTGAGGAATTAAATGCTCGATGTGGAGCAAAAAGGAATACCCATAGTGTAGTATTTATGTCAAATTATAAAAGGAGGAGCCCCTGCTAGCCGTGACGCTAAGCCGCCGTATCAAGGGGGTCCGGCGGCCACTCTTCTATACCAGCTGGTCAGTGTGTCATTCATGATATCCTTAGTGCACAAGGATTGATTTTATTCTCATATTTATGTTAAGTGTTTTTGTTCTAATATACAATAAATCCTTTTATAATTTGACATAAATACTACACTATGGGTATTCCTTTTTGCTCCACATCGAGCATTTAATTCCTCAGGACCACCAGGTGATTACCTGGTGTATGAGACACAAACGCACAATTTAAATTGTGCTTCCGGTGAGTGCGCAATTTATTCATTTCTTCTGCACATCGCCGGACTACATGCATCATAAGGATCTCATCGAGATACACTCATCTGTGTTTCTTTGATGGCTGGACTGTACTGTGCATTTATATTGTGCGTTTTGTATTGTGAAGTGAAGTTGTGTGAAGCTCACGTCATTTCTTCCCCCCTTTTTTCAACTCTTGGGAAGATCACATATAGTGTGTTTGGTCACATATAATGTATGTGGTCCACATCTGTTGACATTTAAGTAAGGGATATTGCACCATCTTCAATACTGGTACAGTCATATAACATCTAGCGCTGCACTATTTATCTCATATTGTTTGTTTGAAGGTTGATGGTTTTCCTTTTTAGTGTATCAGCTGCTGTGTCGGTTAGCGCTCACTGAATCCCTCATTACCATATAGTTCAAACAAGCATTGTAAGTCAGAGATCAATTACTCTTAAAAGGGAAAGGCAATAGCTGATGACATGAGAGAACATAAAGTCCAGAAAAGAGGAGAGCACCACTGATATCAATCGGTTAGGGTCCCAGGGACAGTAACCAGTAAATCAGACCTTCCTTGGAATCCAGACCAAAAGCTTTAAATTACATAGGGCCTTCACAACTAGTGATGTTGGTGGTTTCCCACAGAACATAATATATGGGAATGGCATTAAGATACGACCCGGAGGTACAGTTTGTAGCTCTGAGCTTTGTTGTGTCAATCTTGTAAAGGCTGTTTTGCCTGCTTAATCCACGGGTATGACTGCTATTGTGCTCTGACAATGTACATGTAAAGCCTTTTTTTTAATTCTTGTGTCTGCTAGCTTTCCTTGTGACTCCTGCATTGCAAGAAAAAAACATGAGCAAGCCTGTGAGAATGACTACTATCACATTTAAATTTCAAAATATACCGAGCCTCAGGCATAGCAGACGCACTTACAATGTAAACCTTAACATGGCAATTGTGTGATTTCGTGTCAGTATTCATAATGAACACATACAGGCAAGAATTACCACATTTTATATGTCTAATATAAACATGTAAGTGTGTTTTTAATATATGTGACTTGTCTGCCAGATTGTGGCATAATAAAAAAAATGACTCTACTAACACTGAGTTTTATGTTATGGAAAATGCTGTAGTTGAACTGAGACTCCAAGAAGGGGGAAGCAATGGATTCAGAAATTATGGGCATAAAAAAGCCAGAACATCCAACTATTGTATGTCTGTTCTGTAGAAGGACTGTGGAATTTAAAATGTAGAACTCTTTCAACAACCTGATTGCAAGGAGTAGGTTAGTAGCTGTCCTCATTTTTGGAAAATAGCAGTTGGTCTGGAAAATACATTTCAAGCAGTCCATCCCTTCCCACTTCTCGTGAATTGAGCTTCTGACCAGCCCTGGATGTAGACAGTATGGGGTTGATTTACTAAAATTGGAGACCAAAAAATCTGGTGCAGCGTTGCATTGTAGTTAATCAGCTTCTAACTTCAGCTTGTTCAATTAAGCTATGACAAGAAAAAAAACCGAAGCTGATTAGTTTCTATGCAGATCTGCACCAGATTTTGCACTTTCCAGTTTTAGTAAATCAGCCCATATGTGTCCAGGGCTTGGTTTTTTAGCAGAGATCTGACTGCACGCAAAACATAGCGCAGTTACTCGGCCAAATGCGTTACAGTGATAACGTTTAGCTGCCCATGAACATAACAAACTGTGCAACCCTGGCCATTTGTGTGAATGTAGTGTAAATATCCAGTTCTGGTTTACATTAATTTTGCAGTGAATGGAATTTTTTCAGTATAATAGAAGGCATAAAGTGGTATAGTGCAATAATTACACCTTTTCTATCACTTGTCTGTGTTTGCTGCACCTCTAGCTGCTAGAATTCCTGCCTATCATTGTAACTTGTTTATTGATTTATACTCCGATTGTGAAGGGTTTGGTCAAAGTGCGGCATTTGATGCACCTTGTTATGTTTTAATGTAGTGAATGTTGCATATGCTACTGGTTACTTTGTGTGCAAAGTTTTCCTGCAATAAACCAGTAAATCTGACATTTACTTATTTATGAAACTCTGGTCTTTGTTTTGCACAGGATACAGCTATTTCTCCACAACAGCGGGATGACGTTATCCAGTGGTTGGCCAAGTTGAGACACCAGTTCCAGGTTTACCCAGAAACGCTCGCTCTGGCCATAAGTATTTTGGACCGATTCTTGGCCTCAGTCAAGGTGATCATTTGTATTCAGCAATTAAATACTTAGGAAATGTGAGCAGAACAATAAATAGCCCCTTTTCAATAGCTCAGTTTTGGGATGACCCAACAAGTTAACACACAGATCTCTTACATCAGGGATTTTAGTAGCATGATCTTTCCTCTGGTCTTTAAGTTCGGGTGTTTGTAGTTTGTGATAATATAAAAAGCATATGTTGCCCTTTTTTTTTTTTTTTTTTTCAACCAATTGCCCTCTTGAGGATTTACCCCCCCCCCCCCTCCTGTCCAGGCCATTCTTTGCGTTACGGCGCTGTTAGTTTAACTGACAATTGTGCAGTCATGAAACACTGCACTCAAACGACATTTGCATTTTTTTTCCCCCCCACGGATTTAGCTTTTTCTCGGTGGTATTTGATCGCATGTGGTTTTTTTTTTTGGTTTTTTTTTTTTGGGGGGGGGGGGGGTTGTTTTGAGTTTTTTTTTTTTTTTAAAAAAAGATCGACAGTTTTGGGGGAAAAAAACATATTTTTGACTTCTTGCTATTAATCGTTCAGTAAGAAAATGTAAAAAATCTAATTTTGTCATTAATTTAGGACAGAATGTATTCTGCTACATGTCTTTTGCTAAAAAAAAAAAAATCTCAATATGTGTAAATTGGTTTATATGCAAGTTATAGCGTTTGCAAATGGCGGTATAGATACTGGAGTTTTTTATTTTTACTAGTAACAGCGCCAATCAGCGGCTTATAGCGGAGATCCCCGGCGATTACCGGTCGGGACCCGGTGATCGACAGCCATGGCCACAAATGTCGGTGTGGGTAGGATTTGCCCCCCACTGGGAAATGCAAAATCACATATATATACACGTGATTTTGCACACCTGTGCCACCCTGTAGCAGCATACCTGCTATAGGCGGTCGGTCAGGAAGCGGTTAAACCTGTATTTGACATTGTGTCAAGGTTGTTTGATCAAAAACATGTGTTGAAGAGAATACCTTACTTTATTTAAAGCTGTAAGGAGATAAAAGGTTATATACCAGGTACCCATTTTTCATCCTTTAGGTCTCATATACATTCTGTTTTTCTGGGTTTTCTGAGGTTTTCTGGCTTTTTATTTGTACTAAAACACAATAGTGCAGATGCAGTATTGTATGGTTTCAAAGAGCCTTCAGTGATTATCTCCTCATGGTTTACTCTCTACTGTCTTTTATAACTTAGTGTTAGCCATTATTGTTGTTCCGCTATTACCATGACAGGGAAAAGAGGGTCAGAGATGGGAGAAAGAGCCTGAATTCCAGAACATATCCTGGGCTCATGTTGATGCTTTGGAAATAAAATAATGGAAATGGCTATGACTATCCAGATATCATTTTTACTTTACAGGCTCATCCAAAATACTTGAGGTGCATTGCAATCAGCTGCTTCTTTCTTGCTACTAAAACCATTGAAGAGGATGAGGTGAGTCTTAATTGCACTCGTGATGGTCACTTGGAAATAGATTATGGACATGTGAAATGAGTGTCATACAGGTGCTCCCTGGCACTGTGTCCTTAAGAAAACACCAACTTGGACTTGAATCAGTGCCAAACGTATGACATTCATTTGCACATCTACAGCACAGTGGCTAAGTGGTTAGCACTTCTGCCTAGCAGCACTAAGGTTTGTTCAAACTGTTCATGTCCCAGCCACAGCAGTACCTGCAGGGAGTTTGTATGTTTTTCCTGTGCCTGCGTGGGTTTCCTCTAGATACTCCTATCACACTCCAAAGACATGCTGGTAGGTTAATTGGCTTCTGTCTAAAATTGGCCCTAGTATGTGTACTTATGAATGTGAGTCAAGGACCTTGGATTGTGGGCAGGGATCAATGTGAATATACAATATACGCTCACTGGCCACTTTATTGGGTACACCTTGCTAGTGCCAAGAAAATATCTACCACACCATTACACCACCACCCCCAGCCTGAACTGTTGATACAAGACAGGATGGATCCATGCTTTCATTTTGTGTAAGTCAAATTCTGACCCTACCATCTGAATGTTGCAGCAACAAGTCTGCCCATTCTCCACTGACCTCTGACATCAACAAGGCATTTTCATCCACACAACTGTTGCTCACTGGATATTTTCTCTTTTTCGGACCATTCTTTGTAAACCCTAAAGATGGTTGTGCGTGAAAGCCTCAGCAGCGGTTTTTTGAACTACTCAGACCAGCCCACCTGGCACCAACAACCATGCCACGTTCACTCCCTTAAATCCCCTTCCTTGCCCATTCTAATTCTTGGTTTGAACTTCAGCAAGTCTTCAACACATCTAGATGCTGCCATGTGATTGGCTGATTAGCAATTTGTGTTAGCAAGCAATTGAACAGGTGTATCTAATAAAGTGGCTGTTGAGTGCATATGTAAAACACGGCATAAATTGTCTGCACTGTGTAAATACCTGTACTAAATATACCGTGGTCAAAATCTGATAACAGGTTTTATCTGCCTCAATTGCTTTTCAGCAGTAGTGGCCAGTGGGTTGATTGCAGCTACCGTACGGTGAGAAATTCATAATGCGGTTTGCCAGCAGCAATCAGACAAAATTTATAGCCACAAATAGCGGGCCTTAGTATACTTCCCTCCGTCTACAGTGGTAGAAACCAACTTATGATCTGCCTTTCGTGAAAGACTGAGGGCATTGCAGTGATCTAGGATCTGCGTTAATGGTCTACGGTAGTAGTAGTGTTACTTCCTGGGAAAGTGATGTAACCGAACATATACTATATATAGTATGTCTATGTATTAGGGGCTTATTGGCTACCTTATGATGCCATAGTATTTTGTTAAATATGTACTCTAGCTCTGGGTGAACATCAGCTATGCTTGTACATGAATGGTTTTGATTAATGAAATATTATAAGGAGAAGTGTTTACAGATTAAACAACTGTCTGAATTATCTTCCAGTCTTTTCAATGTTTAAGGTTTGTTAATTGAGTTTCCCAGAATAAATAAACTGGAGCCTGTTCTGACCCCTTCTCCATTTTTATTTACATTCACATGATGTACTGAATGTGCAATGTCCTTCATTATGAGAAAAACCCTTTGGGGTTGATTTACTAAAATTGGAGAGTGCAAAATCTGCTGCAGCTGTGCATGGTAGCTAATCGGCTTCTAACTTCAGCTTGTTCAGTTAAGCTTTGACAAAGAAAACTTCAAAGCTAATTGGTTTTCTGTGCATAGCTGCACCAGATTTTGCACTCTCCAGTTTTAGTAAATCAACCCATTTGTGTCTGTTTGGCCAACAACTCTCTAGTCTATATGAACCTTCTTTTGACTCTCCAGTGGGAAAATCCAGTTGAAGAGTCCTTTTCAAGATAAGAATTTTCACACAGTTATTTAGGGCCATACCACATAATTCAGTACAGGGCCACTTTTGAATTTTCTGGGTTTCTGTATTGACTTGGAGTTTAGATATAGACTACTTGGTAAAGATTTATTGTGACAGTGAACCTTTTGTATCCAGTGGGGCTAGAGAGCTCGGTACATTTACTTGTCGGTAAATTGTCAGTGTCCTTGTGTGATCATTTGAATTGACTATATTCTATAGTGTGAAACTCCTGCGCTACCTAACCCTTGGTTCACATTTGTGCGGGTGGTGCCACTGTGGATCCACATGAAAATCCGTGCAGCCGCACCACCCGCATAGAGAAATTCTAGTTCTAATGCCACGCCGCCTGCAATGGAAAACGCAACCGTACTGGGAACCGAGGTTCCCATGCGGGCTGCATTTTCCAAAGAAGTGCAGAGACTTCTTCCCCGCGTGTCACGGGCACGGGAGACCATTCAAATGAATGGGCTCTCGTGCCCGTGCAAAACGCGGCCCGCACGACCTCATATATGTGACCCGGGGGTCAAACTAAGTGATTGTGCTATACAATGAATGTGATATAAAATAGGTGTGTATCTTTTTAAATGACTAGTGCTGCTGCTAGCATCAAAATGTGTTCCCATATTAAGTGAATTATCTGGTGAATGATGCTGTGCTGGTAATATCCTAATTGTGTGTGACGCTTGCATATAACTAAATTAACATACAATATAAACAAGTAAAAATATCCTATTGCATTTCAACATGTAAAATATATAAATGCGTCAGTTCATACAGTCCACATATAAGTGCGTGATTATCCAACACCAAAATATTTGCGCTCCTTGTTGGCTTCGCACAATACAGTGCCACCTCTGTGCTCACAAAACTCTCACCTCCAAATTTGTCATTGTGCGTGTATATAACATGCCATCCAGATTCCACCAAATCTTTCTGCCTCCTTCTCCTCCAGACCACTAGAGGCTTTTCACTCCTTTCTTACATTAACCAAAATAGAAGGGAGGTATGGTGCCTTTAAACTTCTTATGCATCCATACTATCGTCTCCACATTTCACAAGATAAACAATCGCTTCTATTGTTGAGATCTAAATAAGCACTTCCACACAACATCACTTCTGCCTCTGTTTGCCCTACGCATTGCGTCACTGTCACGTAACTTCATCATGCTGAAATGCAATAGATTTTTTTATATGTTTATATTGTATGTAAATTTAGTTATGTGCAAGCTTAATATACAATTGGGATATTAGCAACGCAGAAGCATTCACCAGATAGTTCAATTGACTATATTGTTTTAAGTGTTTTAGGGGCCGGCAAGTGCTTTTAAGTGTTTAGCATTGTATACACTTGGTGTAATGGAACTGTCGGCTGCATAAGAAGCTCCTGTTTGCTATTTTCTATTTTTCATGGGTATGGAGACGTGGGCTCTGCAGAATATCTTGGAGGAAGGTGCACATTTGTTAATCAGCTTTTTGTTAATTTGAACATTGTAAATCATACATATGAATACATGAAAATATTGTAATAAAATAATATATATGAAAAGAAATGTGTATAAAAAAAAAAGAACTGCGATCATGCATACGTTCTGTTTGCAGTTGACTAAATATCACATGCACCTTTCTTGGTGGTTTGGAAGCCTATTTAAATAAATGGACTGCCATAATGCACGTGCAAAGATATATAAATGGGTCCTTCTAGTTCAGTCTGCATTAACATTTACCTGAATTATGTTTTTAATTGGTGTATAGCCTTTTAGTGGGTCATTCGCATAATTATTCACTTCATGTGCAGATGAAAGATGATTTTCTTTTCACACGGTCGGATAATTACATTTTCTTGTGAGAGCATTCCTTAATCCTTTAGTAAATCAGTCTCAATGTATTTCTCTTGCAGCGGATTCCTGTTCTAAAGGTTTTGACACAGGAAAGTGACTGCGGCTGCTCTCCAGCTGAAGTCCTCCGAATGGAGAGGATTATTCTGGACAAACTGAACTGGGACCTTCACACGGCAACACCTTTGGATTTCATGCAAATTGTAAATACCTTTTTTATATGTGGGATCGTATTATATATATATATATATATATATATATATATATATATATATATAATATATATTTTTTTTTTTTTTTTTTAAATTTACAAGCCAGAAGTACAAAGACCACAATACTTCTCACACTGTGGCAAACGTGACCAATGTACATAGACAAGCATGGTCAAACAAAACTTTCTTCAAGAAAATGAAAATAGATGAATAGGAGTAATGTAGGTCAACAGAGACAAAAATGAGTCAAGAAAATATAATGACGTGAAAAAGGGAAAAGTTGGGGGGGGGGGGGTGTAGAATGTAAGTACAGGTAAGTCAGGGAGGACAGACAAGGGACAGCCTAGTAGAGTGTCTTCCCAAACTGATATAGCAAATGGACTGTTCATCCAAGATATGTTAGGGAATGGAGGCCAGAGGTAACAAATAAAAACCACCCTCAACTAGATAGTGGTGTAAGTCTGGGTAGATGTGAAATGAATCCAGCGAGCCAAAGTTGTAGCAAAGTCTGAGAGAGTCTATCTTGTGAAGTGTAAATCAGTTCAGTCTTGCAAACCATTCTTTCAGGGATGGAACTGAGGGTTGATACCAGTGTTTAGTACATTCTGGCTGCATTGACCATGTGAGTTGCAAGAGACTTCTGATAATGCTCGCCTGGCAGGGAGGGGTCATGAAACAAATTTTGGGCTGGGCAGCAGTCAAGCATATAAGTGGTTACTTCCTTAATAATCTGGTGAACCCACTGTCAGTAGGATTGTAGTTAAGGGCAGTCCCAAGAAATATAAAGCAGGGTACCTTCCTTAAGAAGACAGCACTAGCATTGGCTCGATAACGAAGGGTTGAACCTATGCAGGAAAGCTGGAGTCCTTTACCAACAAATATAAAGTTTATTAGCCATTTTCCTGACCATTTGCCAAAAAATTTTCAACCTTTTTACATTTGTTACATGAGACATTTTGTGTTTTGTTATAAAAAAAAAAAAAAAATAGAGAAAAAAAATAACCTTTTTATGCATATGCAGCCAGGTGCTATTTTCGAAAACTGGCAGACTTTTCTTCGCTAAAGCTGTGGAAACTACAGGCACTCTATTGTTTTGCCAAGACAGATCTTTTATGCAAGATACCTGCACGTCTGACAGGATGTCGTATGCTGGATTTCTGTTTTCATAACACTGAGACTGGTTGAGTGATTATAGTAGGCCATCCCCTAACTTGGCAGTCTGTGAGAGACAGGTCTCTGTATCAGTAGAAATGGGTAACAATCTAAAATGGAGTTTGATGTACTTAGCTGGCCTTGAGGTGATTTTTTTTTTTTTTTTTTTTTTTTTTTTCTTCACGGTAACTGTTTGTGGTCTTCAGATTGATCCCATTGAAGCCCCTTGGATTCTTAGCCCAGGCTGTACACAGGGTTTTGACTTGATTAAACCTCTCCCTGTTATACCACTAAGCCCTGTCATTCAGCTATAAAATACTGCACACTAAGAATGCTACTGACATTTTCTGAATGTATACTGTATATTGTATATCATCATACAGAATATACTCACACCTATGTACCCGGTATGAAAACAGCATGATTGTGGTTGCTGCTTGAAGATGTCACCATGCTAACCACAGGGTACCTTTTACATTTTACTTGTGTGATTGAATGTGATTGAAGTCCTCAAGCAATCATTTCAATGTAAGCAGCTAGCACACAGCAATGATTTCACATCAAACTGTCAGTATTCAATATACTGCTGCTATACTAATGATACAAAAGTATCCAGGTAAACTGTAAAGCCACGCTGAGCTTTCAGTTTAAATCCATTTTATACAATCCAGATGCAGCAAAAAAAAAAAAATCACCGATTAGCACACCCCCTATACAAAACACAAACCGTTAATACCATTTTGAAAATCCTTACCATTTAGGAATAACGTCTAATTGAATTTTCATAAGCAGGAAGTGAAAGGACGGACAGTGAGGCAGGCAGATCGGACACCTCTCCTCCTCGGAGTTTCAGCAGAGGGGCGGGTATCCCTGCCATGGGTGCAGAAGTCGGAGAGCTGGAGGGGTGGGCAGAGTATGCAGCAGGTCAGTGTGTAATCCCCGGACCTTGATGACAGCACTGCAGCTTCATGTAGTAGTTGGGGGGGGGGGGGGGGGGGGGGGGCGCAGAGAGAAAGAGGGGGGGGAGAAAGAGAGGGCAGAAAGAGGGGGGGGAGAAAGAGAGAGGGGGGGGAGAAAGAGAGAGAGGGGGGGCAGAAAGAGAGGGCAGAAAGGGGGGGGGAGAAAGAGAGAGGGGGGGAGAAAGAGAGGGGAAAGAGAGAGGGGGGGAGAAAGAGAGAGAAAGAGAGGGCAGAGAGAGGGGGGGAGAAAGAGAGGGCAGAGAGAGGGGGGGGGAGAAAGAGAGGGCAGAGAGAGAGGGGGGGAGAAAGAGAGGGCAGAGAGGGGGGGGGGGGGGGGGAAAGAGAGGGCAGAGAGAAAGGGGGGGGGGGGGGAAGAGAGAGGGCAGAGAGAAAGGGGGGGGGGAAGAGAGAGGGCAGAGAGAAAGGGGGGGGGGGGAAGAGAGAGGGCAGAGAGAAAGGGGGGGGGGAGAGAGAGAGGGCAGAGAGAAAGGGGGGGGGGGGGAAGAGAGAGGGCAGAGAGAAAGGGGGGGGGGAAGAGAGAGGGCAGAGAGAAAGGGGGGGGGGGAAGAGAGAGGGCAGAGAGAAAGGGGGGGGGGGAAGAGAGAGGGCAGAGAGGAAAGGGGGGGGGGGAAGAGAGAGGGCAGAGAGAAAGGGGGGGGGGGGGGAGAGAGGGCAGAGAGAAGAAAGGGGGGGGGGAAGAGAGAGGGCAGAGAGAAGAGAGGGGGGGGGGAAGAGAGAGGGCAGAGAGAAAGGGGGGGGGGGAAGAGAGAGGGCAGAGAGAAAGGGGGGGGGGAAAGAGAGAGGGCAGAGAGAAGGGGGGGGGGGGGAAAGAGAGGGCAGAGAGAAAGGGGGGGGGGGGGAAGAGAGAGGGCAGAGAGAAAGGGGGGGGGGGGGGAAGAGAGGGAGGGCAGAGAGAAAGAGGGGGGGGGGTAAGAGAGGGCAGAGAGAAAGAGGGGGGGGGGGGGAAAGAGAGGGCAGAGAGAAAGTGGGGGGGGGGTGGAAAGAGAGAGGGCAGAGAGAAAGAGGGGGGGGGGAAAGAGAGAGGGCAAGAGAGAAAGAGGGGGGGGAGAAAGAGAGAGGGGCAGAGAGAAAGAGGGGGGGGGGGAGAAAGAGAGAGGGCAGAGAGAAAGAGGGGGGGGGGGAGAGTAGTCACCGCTCAAAGGTTGGTCTCCACCTGCATCACCTCCACTGCACACTGGCCCTGTCGCCCAGCATCTGCCGCACATCTGATAAAATTACCTTTTTTTTGGACATCTTCAAAATAGACATTCTATGATGTACAAAAGAGGGAGCATAGCACTCCAGCTAACACGTTTTACGCCGTCATCAGCGCTTAATCATAGGTGCTCTGCCAAGGAGGAGGAGTAACAGCATGGATCACATCATATCCTCCCCTCTCTCTGTAGTAAAAGGTAACTGCAGTTTCCATCAACCACAGGGAATTGTAGTAAATGTGGGCGGGTACACTAGGCCTGCACGTTTTGAATGTGTCTGAAAGTCTCGGTCCACCCACCACTGCAAGTGGGGCTGAATACATCACTGATTCATGGAGAGAGAACTACAGAAGGGATGTGCTAAGACCAGTGTCTGGGTGAATAGGAGGCATAGCAGCCACCGGTCTTACAAACAGGAAAACAAAGAGAATTATTGGTTTGATTTGAAAGTGAATAAGCTGTTTCAGAGCAACTACTGCATGAACTAGAAGATGGATGACTTATTCAGTGAAGGTAGGAAATCCGTAACAAGGACTTGTAAAGAAGTTTTTGCCCAGAGTTCTGCTTTAAAGGAGTGCAGTCTTACAGTTAATCATCTTTATGTCAGCCACATACTAAGTAGAAAAGCCTGTCCCCTGCCCACCATTCTGTAAGAAGGACCCTTGCTATCTGTTCCAACAGTGGGATTTATGACCTATGCTGATTTGACAGGGGGTGTTTTGTGACCCAGATGCATTTGTATCCTTTCTAACCATTGAAGGTCTCCCTCTGAATTTATGTTGTATAGTACAGTAAGGTTGTATAATAGAGTACAGTATACTTAAATGATATGTCTGCAATAGAGAATCCGATCATTATTATAATAGCTTTAGTGAGAGTGTACACCGATCTAGGCCTGACATTCTTCTTCTTTTATGCAGTTCCATGCCATAGCACTGACCAGCAGCCCTGAGATGTTAGACAGGATGCCAGAGATGAATCCGTCGCAGCATTTTGGCACTGCTCACCCGCCAGCTTCTTCAGTGCATTGCTTCTCACCAGCTCCTGAAATTCAAGGGTTCCATGTTGGCATTGGCTGTCCTCAGCTTAGATATGGAAAGACAACTTCCTGACTGGCTGGGGCTTACCATCAAAACTGCTTCAGACTGCACAGGTAGGTTACACATTCTGAGGTTTAAAAAGGAAATTCCACTTTCATTCAAAGTAACAGTGATCCCATTTTCCTAAGCCACTTGCCTGACCAAAACCTTGCTTTGGTAATCTGACACACTATTAGAAAAACTGCTAGCTTGTTTTACAATCAAATAAATGTTAAAATTGCAACTTAAAGTGGTATGAAGTCCCAAAACCAAAAATGTAATCTATTGCAGCTTACCAATCCTTAAATGGGGTGGTTTAAGTTTTTTCTTTTTTTCCCCTCTGTTTTCACCTGGTAATCTGGTCAGTTATACACACCTTGTATTAGAATGCCTACAATCTGCATAAAGGAGCACAGGGGCATCTTTGGACAGAAACATTGTCAGTCTGGGGTGAGGGGAGTGTTAGATGTACTAGTAGATTTGGATGCACTAAAAAAATTGAAGCCAAACTCCAAATCACAGTTTATAAGCAGTTATAGCAAACCAAACAGTTTTGTTCCTTTTGAGACAAAGGTTTTACATTAATAAATAAAAGATGGTAATTGTAAGCACCCCTGTCAGTGGTAACTAGTTTGTCTCAACCCTCCAACAGAACAAGCCATCCTGCAAATGTAGCAGTTAAACAGACTTACTGGCCCAATCACCATATATAAATAAAGGATATAAAGCCCAAAAAAGAAAACTAATGCAGCCATCATTGGCTGCAATTGGTAAGTTGCAATATAATGTTTGCTTTAGGGTTTAATACCATTTTAAGGCCTCGTGCACACAGGGTGTTTTGAATTTTTCCTCTGAATAGCTTTTACTCCTGGTAGGAAAAAGCGACTTTAAAAAATGTGCCAAAAGCCACGTATTGCTCACACCTTTTTAGGCGTGTCTTACATTTGAGAACTAATGGATTCCATTGGCCACAATATTAAAATGTTTTGGCCATTAGAATGCAATACACACTAAAATGCGCAAGTCGTCGTTTTATGTTCTTTAGCTTCTCTCCTGAATGGGCTGTTGATGGGTATTTTTTTTAGCCGGTTAATGCTTTTTTTCTAATATTCTTGTAAATGCCTATGTGTGCATTGACATATAGGCTGACATAAAGCTGCTTTTACAGGCTGAAAAGAAAAATGGCAAACGTCTGTAAAAGCTGCATTTTTTTTTTTTTTTTTTTTTTTTAAGCCCTGTGTGCATGAGGCCGAATACTTTAGGGAGGTTGCACTGTTGAAAATGGCATGGGCTGATTGAGAGAACACAAGGAGCCATTTCTTTCTATTTATTGGTAGTGGAAAGCCTCTTTAAAATTACACGACAGTATACTATGTAGAAAAATGTACATCTTGTTGGCACTTAGGAAAGTAGTGCTAAATTTGGACAGTGTTTGACCACCTTTTAAAATCCTCTCTAATAGCAAAAACCTTTTAAGGTCCTTTTTAAACACCTTTTTGCTTCCTGTAAAGCTCCTGGGCATGTGCACTATGTAGATTTTCACTGTAGCTCTTGGACTGCATCCATTGGCACATTGCATTATAGGATGTTCATGGGCATTCCAGTGCCCTTTTGGTGTCTGCTTTCAAGTTGTGTTGTGCACTGTGGCTGGCATCAAGTTTAATGAAACTAGAACTATAATGATTTATTTAAGGTGTGTTTTTTTTTTTTTTTTTTTTTTTAAATAGCGACACTGCAGTATTCTTGTTCTTTTACTAAGGTATCCCAACCATTGGGGATCTGTTTTTTTACAAGTTCTCTGATTTTCTTACAGATGGATAGCTCCCAGCTGTTTCGCTGTCGGGAAGAGGCAGCGCGGCACCTTTCTCCTCTGCAGGCTTCCTTGCCTCCCAATGCTGTATATGTCTACAGCCCCTCCAAGAGGACGCTGGTGAACTGCAACAGAGGAGAGTACCAATTCCGTCCCTCCCCTGTCCCAGGGCCAGCAGTCCACAAACAGGGTAAAAGCACACCAGGAGCTCTTATGAAGGGAGCAACTTTCTTCTACCAGCGGCTAGTAGCCCCGGCTGCCTGCAAGCAGGCGTCCACCAAGCGAAAAGTGGAGCAGATGGAAGTTGATGATTTCTATGATGGGATCAAGAGGCTATACAATGAAGATAGCACTACGGAGGTTGGGAGCATGGAGATTGCTGCATGCAATAGTGGCCTGTCTAGACAGGAGGGCAGCATATCCCCATGTCCCCAGTTACAAGCAGTGTCTGTCATGTGATAGCAGCCTTTCACACCTGTGAGTAAGATTCCTTTTGACACCCCTATATGCTGGGAGTTCCATCTTTCAGTGTGATACATTCCTGTCTCTTTAACAGGAATTGTGTTTAAGAACCATACAGATTGATATCCATTGTAGTAAAGGCCATACCAGCTCTGGACAGAGGTCTATGATTCCTGCCTGTTTTCTCATGCTGCTAATTCTAGTTCCATCTCTGTCATTATAATAAAAAAAAATATGAAAACAACACATAAAATGAAAACCTATTAAAAAAAAAAAAATCCAAAACACGTAAAAAACAATAACAAAAAAAGTAGCAATATTGTTTAACTTCTTTAGTGTTGTCAGTTCCATTGTGTTTTGCTGGCGTATTGTATACTGTGCACCTTGACATTTTGTATTTGTGTGCGAGCATATTTCTATCTGGTGTTCTCGAGTTGCCCCTAAGCATTATCTTTTTATGTATGTCAAATTTTTTTTTCTTCCTGTGCTTCTGCTTTCTTGTGAAAACTGACTTTACACTAAAAATATTTTCATCCCTATCCAACGAACAGACAAAATGATAACTGTAAGTCCTATCAAGTAATTTAGTTGTGCTGTAGTAGTTGGAGAGCACTCTGCTCACTCGGCATTGTGTGAGTTTTAATCTGACACCTACTATACAGATTAATCGGAATTCGGTTTAATTAGTTCTAGAACTCTCATCTTTGCTTCTTGATCAATAGCAACTGGCCCTGCAGTGCAGTCACTCTGCTTGAAGTGGGTTGATGAGGTGTATGGTTTTTTTTTTTTTTTTTCTTGTTCACAAGTATGCACCTACCAGATGCTGTTTTAATCTTTTTGATACATTCACTTTTATTTGTTGTTTTAACAGTGCACCATGACTTAACCATGGCCAGTTTTAAAGAACATTAGAATCTTTTGTAGAAACATCAGGATTTTCGGTTTTTTTTTTTTTTTTTTTTTTTTTTTTCCCCCTGTGACAGCGTTATCTAGAATTCATAAATGCTGAAATAGTTTGTCCCAGCATGCATCCTTACTTTCTATTGTAAAGCTGTACTATTCATGACATCATACTTTGTAAAGATCTCTGATCAGTCTGGGGCAGGCATGGCCTATGGAATCTTTATTCCCATGTAAGTTTTTCCTGGTTGCAATAAAGAATTGCCCTAAATGTAACATCTTTTTTTGTTTATTTCGGTGTTTGTTAAACTTACTTTGTCTAGGTCTACGTTTTGTCCCTTAAAAACAGGAGTAAGAGGTCACATGAGGTGTGAGGGTTGCTCTTTAGTCAACTGATAGTCTTCATGTTTCTAAAACACAGATGTGAGAGTGAGGACTGGCAGCTGAAGAGGGAGCAACTGTCAGACCATGTGTGACCTTTTAACTCAAAGAACTGGCTTCAGAGCAAAGCTAAACACAGAAAAGCACATATTTTTCATACGCACACAATTCTAATTAAAGGCTGAATATATAAATTCTAGCACAAATTTGGAGTATTTCTTCGAGAATCACCAATAAGAAAATGTGAATTACTGATCATGTTGCTTTTAGTGGCGTTTCACAATGACGCGGTGCAAATCTGATGTGGTTCCAGTGTGATTTCTGCTGGGACAGGTGTGAATTCAATGCGATTTCTGAGGGGACTGGGCATAACAGAAGATTAAATTCATACCACACACGCACTAAACTTACGCAGGACCCTTTTTTGGACTGAATCACATTTGCACCGAATCTATACGAACAGCCTGCATTGGAAATAATGCTTTTGTAGATTACATGCGATTCTATGCTTTTCGGATCGCATCTGATCTGCATAGGATTCGCATCAGTTTGAACCGGCACTTAAATTAACCTTATTGTCTCACATATAAGGGTCATTTAGTAAACTGGAAGGAATCTATATCCTGTACTGACCAAAAAAGAACCTCCCAGTCTTGAAAATACTTGTGTCCCCAGTGTTGGAGTTTACTTGTTCTCATCCTAGAATAATTAGGAAGATATGGTTATTATTGAACATACCTTTTGTGGATACATGGAAAATGAATGAGTATTTGTTTCTTGTCCAGGAACTTAGAGACTGTTGGGTTATATTGCCGCCCATAAGAGGATTTGACACTTAAAAAAAAAAAGAAAAGGCCAGCCCAGTATAACCCCTCCTGTTCACAGCATGCTTTAGTTTCTTTCTAGTCTCCTAGGAGGATTGACATAGTTTCTCTGCACTGTGGAAAATATAACATATTTTGATAGCTTTTTAGCATTTTCCTGAATCAAGACTCCTACTTTATTGCTGTGCTGGTCTCTCTTCGCAGCTATCTGGATTGACCTTTCGCTAAGCCTTACACTGGAGTTCTGGACCCGGATCCACTGCATGGCAACACCATATCTGTATTGTACACCAAACCAAAAGGAAAAATCATCACAAACATAAGCATATTTTATTACAAAATGACTGATAAAATATCAAAAAGACCTATTACAGGTCATAAAAACAATGCCTGTACACAAACATCGATAGGTAAATGGGAAAATACCAACTGCTACATATCAGTCGCAGTAACCAACTTTTTTTGGGCTCACTTATAATTACAAGATTAGTAATCTGTGGAGAGAAGTCCTCATAGGTCAACATGTTTCTTGACTATCTTCTTCAGGGCACATGTAGGAAGATTGCACTGGTAATTCAGGTTTATAAATATAGCTAACATTCAGGAAACTCCTGGGGCAGACACGAGACAACAAGGTGCACAAGGAAAAGGTGGCAACCAGGAACCACTGTTAAGGGTAAATTCATTTTAGAAAAATGGCCCTAATATGTGGCATGATAAAAGATGAACTATCAGAGGATATGGTGGCTTCAGCAACACATATCACTGCTGTACAGTGATTAGATGTATAGACCCTGCAAAATGGGGATATGTGTTCCCCCTCCTGGCTAATCTAATCAGTAGTCTTTACAGCAGGGGTGTCCAAACTTTATTCAAAGAGGGCCAGATTGGATGAAGTGAACATGGTGGAGGGGCCGAACATTTTTCCGAACATTCTTTGAACCATTACAATTAAATGCAAATAAATTATTTTATGCCAAGTTAATTGCAAACAACATACTTTTAATTTCATAACATTAAGATCAACTGACAGCTGAGTTTTCACAATGTATTGAAAATAAATTTAAAAAAAACTTACCTGCACTAATGTGAAGGGTGAAAAAGGTAGCTGGAGCTGAAGTCTCTGCTCGGCAGCCGGGAGGGGAAGAGAAACACACTTCACACTGGAAGCCCGGCCCTGACGTCACCGCCCTCTGTCGCTCTCAGCGCGGCGCAGTCACGCATGCGCACTGCTCTCAAGCAGAAGACTGTCTGCCACAGAAGGGAGGGCCGTGCGACAGCCGCATTTACACAGACCAGGGAGAACGTGCCGCAGTCAGGCATGCGTAATGCCCTCTGCTCTCAAGCAGAAGACTGTCTGCCATAGAAGGGAGGGCCACATTACACAGAACAGGGAGGGCTGTTGGAGGGCCGTATTAAACTGACCCCCGGGCCGTAAATGGCCCGCGGGCCGGACTTTGGACATGCCTGCTTTACAGTATGAGGAACCTGGTATATAAAAACTAATATTAAGGCACCTAAAGATCATGAAGTCCAACCACTGATATACACTGGGAATTACACCTCCATCTCACTAGTAAATTGCCTGTCTCAGGACCACATATCGAGAACCAAGAGCTCCTGTGGTATCCTGTTTTAACAAAACTTCAGCCTCCCCTGTAGATAATGCACCTCCGCAAACGCATGCGGCGTTTGCGGAGCGTTAATAACGCTCCGCAAACGCCGGACCAACGCTTGCCAAACGCTATAGGGGCGTTTGGCAAGCGTTGGCAAAACAACCTAGTGTGAACGAGCCCTTAGTGAAAAGCAAAGAATCCTAAATTAAGAATAGGTCTAGACAGTTGCCAACACTCTTGCCCTCTTGGTACTAGAAAATAGATGCGCCACCATTCCACAACACAATACCTGACATCTAAGCAACCAGTTAGCAGGATCTTGCACTACACATTTGCAAACCGTGACCATCAGAAATGTTCCATTTCCATTGCCACTAGAGAAAGGGTTACAGGTGATACTTTTGAGTTATCTGCTAGCCTTTGTTCTCCACTACCTAGCCTTGTGCTTAGTTTGGGATTCTTGTTCTCCCATAAGTACACTTCAAAAAAAAAAGTACACTTTGAATTTTTATTTTAAAATTCAAGATACAATAGCAGTCAATTTTTGATTAAGAATACTTATCTTAGTGAATCAGTCCCAATGTCTCCTGCAGTCTCTAGTAAGTATACAGCTTTGCAAAATGTTAGCATTCATCCAGTCAGGCATAATTAAGAATAAGAATTTATATTCTGCGTTCTTGACATATGAGTAACACTTTATTTCCCCAAAGAGTGCTTGAATGACATCTTAGAAGCCAGAATGCAGATTGGACACATTTCTGCATTTTGATTATGAAGAGGACGACAGTCAGACAGTTTTCCACATAACCAGTATGCCCTCTGCTGGAGTCTGTTAGGAATTGTTGGTTGCACTGTGTATCACACTTATCCAGCTGCTAGTTGGCAGTAATTCTTTTTAGACTTCACTGCAGGAGGTTGTTATGCCTTTTATAATGCATGGTTAAAGACACCTAGGAAAATTGTTCTAGTATACTAATATCTTGTAGTATATTTTGTTGTTATTAAGGGAAGCAAATTTCTAATCTGAAATCTGCTGTCTTCCAGGAGACATGCTATGGGGAAATATGGAGTCTGTCATTATTCACCTTCCCTTATGACAATGCTGGTTGCACTTAATTAATGGCACTTAATTAATGGCTTTGATAGTTTCTGGGAATACAGCCTGTAGCTATTCAGATCAGAATTTCAGACTTGCCAATCTTTTGCTTGCTCCAGGTTTTCAGATGGCATTAAAAAAAACAGATGCAACAACAAAATAAATTTTTTTTATGAGATA